GGTGGTGCATAGATGAAGTAATATAATTCACTTCACTATTTCTTCACTATTTGGAATAAATATCATTCACTTCATCTATGGGTGGTGTCTGTCTGTGCGGCAACCACGACTAAAATACTCAACTGATACAGCCAAAACTAAGCACAAAGACTGTCCATAAATCTAGGAATGTCACAGGCTTATTCACTTCCCAGAGTTCTTCTCGGATTATGAAAAACTGATTTTTCTACCTGTTGCGAAGCACGGGTACAGCAGCTAGTATTACTATTATGCAATTGAGGTGACGTCTGTCTGTCTATCTGTCTGTGCAGCTGTCACGACTAAAATACTCAACTGATATAGCCAAAATTAAGCACAAAGATGGTTCACTTATCTCGGAATGTCATAGGCCTATTCACTTCCCTGAGTTCCTATCGGGCTACGCCCCTTGAATGTCCGGAGTTTTGAGATGAGGTTTCAAAAGTAAATGATTGGTATCCATGGAGATAATAGGATAATCAGTTTTCAAAATAATAGGCTCACTTCCCGGGAATCGCCAATGGATTTAACCTGTGTGATAATGCCACACCCCTTTAAGCCCAGACCGAAGTAATGTGTAAAAGGGTTCCGAACTCGATAGAATATGAAGGTAGGCCATAAATTGCTTTTACGTAGAAATCAATTGGAATTAAAAGGAAATTTGTTTATCGAAGCAAACCTCGGACACCTTGGTCTTTTTCAGTCAACCACTACTTGTTTGAGAGTGTTGCCAGTATAGTGGTCTCAGTTTTCAAGCGAATGGGACGGATTTGAACACCAACATATCCAAAAAGAATTGGCCAAATTCAGAAGCATTTGATATTCTTCCATAAAATGTGTTATTGGTGTAAACCATAAAAACACAGATAAACAATTCAGAGCCACAATTCTAGAATTTAAACTTTATTGCAGTGTATCTAAGGTCAAAACCCCCAACGACACATCCGATGGACAATCCCACGCTAAGAACGGTGGACAGATGAGAGTCCATTGGCCGGGGCTGGACCACAAGTATGAGATTGAAATCACTTTCTACTCGTTCCTTCCGCATTGACTCGCCACTTGAATCACATATACATGTCGAGGTCCAGCTAGGACGTATGGTCAACCATTCACTTAGTGGTGTGATTAATTTTATCGGTACGGAACAAAGTTGGACCTACACCCTACACAGCGATGCATCTACTTGATACACTAAGGATTGAATTACATAATTTATTTTGAGTTTAATAGGTACAAAAGTTAAAACCGTTTTATTGGTTGATACTCAAAACAAATCAAGGTTTCTTCTAAGAATTAGTTAGACATTAACAATAATTTGGATGTCATATGAAGTGTGATTCCTGAGCATATTCTACTGTATACCCTGTATGATGGAACCTGTCTCCTGAGACTCATCAACTCGTCAACCAGAGGACTGGGCTAGTCCCAGGGAAACGGAGAGTCAGGAGACAAGTCCCATCATACAGACTATAAACAGCAGAAATTGGACTGCGAAAGTATTTTTGTTCAACGAAAATGAGAACTATATCAATATTCTCAATTTAAAACAATGACTTTGAAAACTGGAAATATACCTGCCATTCTGTTGGAACAAGACTTGTTTTGAAATGTGTCTGGTAAAGCTTGATAGGTGTGATGTAGACCAAACATAGCTGCGTTTTACTTTGCGTAAATTCCAGGGAAGAATGAAAGGTAACCCTAACATCTTTCTTTCACATCATCATCTTCGAATCACACTGAAAACTTCTCATTCAACGACCCAATCAGCTGAGCACATGCATGCGCACACCAATCAGCTGTTTGACGAATCAGCTGTTCAGTTAATCGTCTGTTTTGGCCACAGATAGAGTGGGTGGGAAGGTAATGCGCGATCTCTGTTCCTAATTGTTAACTTCGCTAACATGCGATTCTCAGCTTGATCGACAAGTGACTAGATAGTGTGCTATTAGGCTATTTCACTTTCCACCGAGAAAGCTGTGCGCTTTGTTCTTTTATCAGTAAAGTGTTGACAGTTTAAACGACGATGTAAGAGGGTGTTTTCTGAAAAGGATACCTGTGATGATATTTCTGTTTGACTATCATGAGTTTTGTAATATATTGACACGACCACATGAGATGAAATACGAAGATATACGCAAGGTTACTAAACTTCTTGTTCTTGGTTTTTGGTCTTTGATGATAAGGATTTGAAGTTCCTCGAGCACGCAAGCATTACCTATCGATATAAAACACAAGTTTATACCACACTATACCCTTAGCAATACCGGAGTGTCCCTGAACGAATTTTACCTGGCGTTCAGGGTTACCTTCATATTTTTATGGGTTTTTTTTATAGTATTATATCAATGGAATTCCCCGGCACACGCTAAAACAAACTTAAGATTTCACAATAGGATGATAAGTCTACAATCCAAAGGCAACGATTAGTTGTAACACATTGCTATGTATCGTGAGAGAGAATGTGAGGCAACTGAAATGTCAAGGAGGAAACTGTACGTTCGTATTGCAAGTCAATTATGTAAATGGTTACAAACTACACCAACTGCGAAACCGTATCGAATTGAATACCTATCACATGTACCCGACCGAATAGTTTATTGTTGTTTTACCTACTGAAAATTGCCACTAACAAATAGCGTTATTCTTAAACTGCTGCTTTATTCCTCTGACATTATTAGCGTAGTAAAATGGGATACTAGAAAATTAATTCAAAAATAGACGAGTTGCATAAGTTGGCATTTGAGTAGGCATGAAAGACCTCAAAATAATCTTTAGGTCGTATAATAGGTTACAGCGTATATTTGCAGAATACAAGGTAATGAATAAGTCAAGAACCTTTAATACTTTTAATTGGAATGGCGACCATACGAAAGTAGGTATTTTAAGAGAAGTATGAATAAGTGTAGAATGAGTGGCGCCATCTTGAAGTCTTATTACTGACTAAGGCTGACATGTTCCTTAAACAGGATTGATAATTAACTAACACACACACACACAGCCAAAGGCAACTAAGGGACCTACAGTTTATAGTGGAACCCGAACCACATTTTGCCTTGTAATTTACGAATTTGTCTACTTATCAGGATATAACTGCGAATAGTCAGTACTCACTAGTGCGGACATTAATCCACACCAGGAAGTATCGCATCCACAGATCATGCCTATAAATATCCACAATTCGTTAACTCCAAGTAACTGGACGTCACCATGGTCCCAGTCCTTGCGAAACCCCATCTCTTCAAAGACAAAAGAAAAAATATCGCGACGGGAAGAGGAGAAACTTCTCGACCTGCGTTGTGTGACCGGACACTCAATATCTCTTAATGAGAGACAGGGAGGACAGAAAAAGCGATCAGCTGAAAGAGAGAGGAAGAAACTTCCTTCTGTCTTCTTTTTCAACTTGCGCGTCTCCCCCCCCCCCTCACTTCTCTTTCTCTCTGTCTCTTCCCTGAGCAAGTTCACCTTTACGCCGACGCTTCGCGGTTGCAACACAAGTCGAAAGGTGAGCGAAAGGAAGTTGGCATTGCGAAAGGGTCGCCACCTTGAACCCGTGCATCTAAACACCCGAATGTGCAAATGCGTCAGGGAAAAACTTTCCATGATGCGTTTGGAATATTTATTACGCTAACATTTCATCAACAAAATAGTAGATTTGGGTTAAAATGGTTCTTTTTGACATTAGCTCAAGTTCAACGAAGGCTAAACCGGGGCATAAGGTGAAATAAACTTATGACCCGTAGTATAAACTCTAATTTTAGTCATGCTGTACCATCTTTAAGGTTAGAACACATAACGGCAGTGTTTAACAGCCATTTTTACACAAAACCCACTTTTTAAGAGTATATTTTGATGCAATATTTCTACTTGATCAATCACAATTCTTTACCATTACAATTTGTCAATTTGCAATTATTCGTATTTGCAGGGACGGTAACAAAGTCCAAGTACTCCCAGTTAAGAAATAAAACAACCGCTGCGCTCCCTTCAAGGAAAGAAAATCGCACAAGATAGGTTGTGTAATGTAATCAATCCCTAACTGTCATCCAGTCATCGTTGTAATCGTGCAATTCGCATTACAACCTGGCAGATTGTCTTCGATGATGAGGACTACGACGATGACAATGATCATTATGCCATAGACAAATGTTGACGAAGACAAAATCTGTCTATTTGTGCCATAATGTCCCTAACGTGTTAGATATTGGCAAGCTGAAATTCGTTGTTTATACAATAGACATTTTAACATTATAGATCCTCGATTTAAACTATGCAATCAAAAGGTTCAATTCAAAGGGGTGCTTCACTTGAGCTCTTGTTTAGACCTCCGTTGAGATAAGCATGGGAAAGATCACAAGGGTCAACGGTCTATTGTTGAGGTGTGCATGCCACACCGTGGAAATGCGATGGTATCAAAACTCCGCTGAATAATAACAATTATAGACCATGTAACGCAAATTGGTTTACAGTGTACACTGTACTAAACTCGGAATTACTATCACTCATTAGTACAGCCCTAAAGGAATAAAATAGTTATTGAGGAAAACATTATAACATTATAATTATGTGTAGCTTTGTTACCGTACAGAACGAGTTGTTGTTAAACAGGAAGTCGAATGTTTTTTTGTACGCATCTGTTCATCTGTACGTACATCCGATTGATGTGAAACGTTGGGTAATCGTTTAAGATATGCCATGAAACATTTCTGTCTCGCATTGATACATGAATCCATCAAGATCATCTCTGTATGGTTTCGTGTCTCTTAGGGGTTTCAAAGCTTATTGAAAACTACAAATATATAATAAAAAGCACGCATAATTTTCGGGAAGATTTTTACATTAGGTTTCTCATGTTAATGCATCGATTTCACTAAATTTGCCACGAATCGGGAAAGATACTGCCCCAGCCCAAGCAAGCTAAAAGGACAAGACGGCACTTATAAATACAGTATAAAGTTAGGAATGTGAATAGCTTCACTCACCATGATCTTCGGCAGAGTTCGCTGTCGAGTCTAGTAGGATGTTTCTTGGGTCTGGTAACGCCTGGTTGACCGCCTCGGTGTCCTCTTGGTTGTCACCGAAGAACTGTAGTCTCAGAACCTCAGAGCTTTCGGGATCAGTGATGACGATGTCCGGATTGGATTCTACTCCGTTTGAGACATTGTTCTCCCCGTCTACTGCAGAACTCTCTCCACTATCAGCTGATTCTCCTTCCTCAGACACCCTGAATTGCACCTGCTTCTTCTTGCGGTTCTGTTGTTGTTGCTTGTAGTCTTTGAAGGACGGCAGACGGAAGTTCTTCCCGACATTAGGAGTGACTGAACGGGCTCCTGATTCCGATGAAGAATCTCTCCTTGGTGTTGAGGTAACGAGCTTGTTAGGACTCACACTTTTCACAGTATCAGCGAGATTCAATGTAGAGTTGGGCTTTTTCAAAATACTTTTGATCTCTAACGACGCGGAGGACGTGAGCGAGTTCGATCGCCGACTCGTTTGGTTAGGAACATCTAGGGCGAAGTTGACTCGGTTTTTACCGGTCTCGTTCGTAGTCTTTGGAGTATCTATTTTATTTACAGGTTCCAAAGATGTTTTTAGTTTGCGAGGCGGCCTCTTCGGTGAGTTTGTGGTCTTGGGTGTTTGAGAGCCTGTGGGTTTTGAGTCTGATCTGTCAGAGAACCACGCTTTGTGTTTCTCCACGTCGTAGATCTCCTCCTCGGTGTCCTCGGAGTCGGAGACAAACTCGTTGGAGTTGGTCACGATGGGGATCGGCTCGTTGTTGTTGAACAGTTTGATCCTTTGTCCTCCTATACTGACACCTCCAGGTACAGGGTCCGTCACTCTCACCTGGTCGTCCCATTTACTCCTCAACGCGTCCAGGAACCCTTTTTTGTTCGTGCTACCGACCGTCGCTGCCTTCTTCGTCGTCCTTTTATCTTCTCTCTTCGTTCTCCTCGTGTACGCATAATCGTCGAGCGCGTTATCACTTAAATTATCACTAAACTCGTCTTCTTCCACAGAAAGCCTAGGGTCTATAGGATCGTTTTTTAAATACTGAGAAATAAGTTCGTAAGGGTTAACATCACATTCTAGGATACTCTTCCTCGCCGACTCGTTGCACACTCCGTTCGTCAGGACCCGCGAGTCAGGAGAGCGATGCCGAGGGGGTGACTTGCTCCGTCGCCTCCGCCCTCGCGGGGAACTACTCTTCGCTCTGGACCTCCCATCTGGAGGAGGTCTCAGAGAACTCACTGTCGCCAACCTCGACTTCCTCATCATGTCGTACGGATCCTTGAGGTCGTCCAGACGGGGAAGTTCCGGCCGACTCTTGGGCTGTGACAGCCTCACGGTTCCGAACCCCCGCACCTGGGTGGGAGACGCGTCCCATGACGTCTTCCTCGAGCCGCCGCACTTCTTGCACACCGCCGCGCTTTTCTTGCCCCGGGTGGTACCGGAGAGGAAATCCGCACACGCGCACATGACGAGGGCGTAGCCCGCAGGCGGCGACATCTCGGGGTACATGAAGAGGCTGGGCCGCGTGGTGGAGGGCCGGGCCGCCATGGAGCCGTACAGCCACGTCTCCGCGTACTTCATGGACTTGGAGAGGGCGGAGCCCCCCGACAAGGTCCCGTACTTGTGCTTGTAATCGTGCATCACTCCGTCCTCGGACCCTCTCTGTAACAAATGGGCATGTTGTCAGTAAACAAACAAGGCACATTCTATTCAATAACTCTAATTTTCCAACAATGAACAATAACACAGCTGAATGGATTAATAGTGCTCGTTGAACAACAAAATTAACGCTTTCAATCCTGAGGAAATTCAATAGATGGGATGAACTTGATTATCAGGCTTTCATAAATTAGGGAAATTTAGTCAGCAACAAATACAAACGGATCTATTATACAGGGTGTCCCGGAACTCTCTACCAATATTTTAGGGCATTGATCCTGGGTAAGAAACGTACCTAAATATCATATTTAAATTGTCTGGAAGTTCTAACTTACTCACACAGCCGCCATTTTGTTTTTTTCAGATATTAATTTTTTTCTAAAGAATGGTTAAACATACGAAATGGAAACTTTGCACAGACATTTATGACAGCTAGACAAAGCTACCAAAAAATTATCACGATTTTTCAAATTCATAAAACAAAATGGCGGCCATTTAAAAATTTTATAAAATCAATGGTTTTTGAGTCATTTAAGAAGAAAATGTTAAATGGCCGCCATTTTGTTTTATGAATTTGAAAAATCTTCATAATTTTTTTGTAGCTTTGTCTACTTGTCATAAATGTTTGTGCAAAGTTTCCATTTCTTATGTTTAACCATTCTTTAGAAAAAAATTAATAACTGAAAAAAACAAAATGGCTGCTGTGTGAGTAAGTTAGGACTTCCGGACAATTTAAATATGATATTTAGGTACGTTTCTTACCCAGGATCAATGCCCTAAAATATTGGTAGGGAGTTCCGGGACACCCTGTATAGTACACTCCTGTTACATTCATATTACATTTCACAAGCATTTATGTCCTTCTTAGCTCCCGTACTACTACACCGCAGTTTGTGCCCTTGCCCAGCTGATATTATTAGCGATCAGCTGATATTTGCGGCAGATCTTGTTACCGCTGGTGCGGCTTTGTTACGCAAGTTTGCCGGATACGGAGGCGGAGGTCAAGGCTATCTACTGGCGCGGTCGGAGACGGAATCTTGGGTCCGTAGTTATTTAATGTCTGGATTATTCTGTAGGAATTATGGTCTAGTATCAGAACATGTGGCTTCGGTTCCGAGGTCTCTGGTTCAAATACCGTAAATCACCAATGGCTGACTGATAATCCTCTAGGACTGGGAAGAGATATGTAAACCGGTTTCCGTAACGAAGAAAGGAAAAAGTGCGTTATTTTATGTCGGGGAATGTTTTTGTAACAGACTAAAATAAAACTAAAAAATACAGTAGTAGCGAGTAACAAAACAATGGATACTTGCAGTGATTGTTAGAAAAGTAAACTGATGTAGCTACTGTTAGTACAAAAACTATGAAACCAGTATAGTAACCATGACTTATATTAATTAGTGACTGTTCACCCTTAGAAAATAGAGATGGCCACTTGGATCCTACAGACGGTTAAGCTACTGTTTATCATCTTTTATGGCCAAAGAGTAAATAGAACACTTTCAAATATCTGATGAAGAGAAAAACAGCACATTCCAAAGAAAACGGCCATGAAGCACACACAAAAAGCTACAAAACTTTACAATGCAACAAAGTATATTTACTATTGAAAATCTAAGTCTCCCAAATCGTAGTACTGTGAAACATTTGGTTTTCATAGTGAACTGGCGAAATCTTTTGCAAACCAATATAATGTAAACAAATCTGGGAAATATCATCAGTTTTCAAATTGTGAAAATGTTTGAAACGTAGCAATCTCATTGATTATGATTTTATCTCAACTTCAACATACAGTAACTACAATTCCCTCATGTAGTGTAACAAGCAATACAACCACATCGCAATCAATTTGACCTTTTACACGTACTGAAGTGATTGACACGATGAAAAGCTGTCAATTATTTGCGAACGCGCGATATTCGACTTCGATATTCGCATCGTAATTGGTGGGCGGAGGCGAGTGTTTCTCAATTGATTGTACACGTCCCTGATGGGGCCCCGGGGCCCTGCAGGGCCTGACATTGTGCGTATCATATAACGGACACTGTATAATGTGAGCCGCGGGCCCCGCAAACTTTGGACACCAATAAATTGTTAAGATTGCAACGCGAAACCTCCGATAAGCCGTGCCGCTAACCCAGTTACGACAGGGAATGCTTTTGTGGAAGAATCTCCGTAGATGAATCTCGACTTGATGAATCGGTTCTTTGAATTATTTATGGTCTTCAAAGTTGAAATCATCTGCTTCCACGTATTTCTATCAAGTTGTTAGTACAGAAGAATATCAGTGATTGTGCATGTTTCGATGTCAAGAAATCATCATCAGTAATTATGTTCTTCAGTCCTTGGCAACTCAGATAGTTTAACACAGGCTGAATTACAGCACGATTGTACCTGATAATTATGTTTTGGAAGCGAAACTAGTAAAGAAAAAAACCGACATTGGAATGTACTGACGAAATTATTACGTAAATAATCTAGTTTTTCAGAATTTTAAAAGTTCATTGGGCTAAAACATTGATATAAATATCCAGACGAAGTTAAAAATGTATATGTCCTCTGTAGTTTTAATTTTGTATAACATAAGTGAACTACTTTGTTACTAAGAAAAATTAGGTGGAGACGATAAAGTTGTATAGGTTTTATGGTAGAAAAACATTACTGGTACAGAATCTTACAGTTTATTTGTGGCCCCTTCAAAATAATTTTTTTATTAGTAAAATGTATTAAATATAATGACTTATCTACACAGAAATTCATTTAATTTTAGTCAATCTGTTGAATACATAACTATCGAGAAACTGTGTATTATAAAATTATATTATTAATTACTTCGAACTTGTATGATTTTAAGACCATGTTGTTCAGATATTCAGGTACAACTCAGAGATAACTTCAGATACAATTCAAATACAACATAGTATCAGATTTTCAAAGTAAATGACAAATAGTCGTGATAATTTAAAACATCATCAAAATAACATAAATGGAACTACCAAAGTGAAATCCACAAACTTCTACTATTTTTAGGTTGAGAGCATTGAAACACATGACAAACTTAACGTCAGGTTTTGGGAATGAATCAAAGACAGACCTTGCACTTTCACAAAGCAACAATGAGGACCAGCTGTCAATTCACCAACCAGCTGTTAAATTAAACACCAATCAGCTGTTATACGTTCTAAACACCAAAGAGAATAAATGGAAAGCGTGTGCTCCCACTATCTCCGCGTTCCGATATCTCCGAACCCAAATCTGTCCCGCTATCTCCGAATTCTTGAGTGACCCTTATAATCCAGTCACTGACTGCGTTGTTAGCTGTCATTGCATCCACGGCTGCGAAGCCCCGTGGATGGAAGATTTGATGAAAATTTAACCCGTGGGTTAGGTTAGGTTAGGTCAGGTTAGGTTAGGTTAGGTTAGGTTAGGTTAGGTTAGGTTAGGTTAGGTTAAGTTAAGTTAGGTTATGTTAGGTTTGAACGGAAAGTCTTAACGCAGGAAGTAACCGAGGATTATAAGGGTCACTCTGAAATTCGGAGATAGCGGTACACGGAGATATGGGGACGCGGAGATAGCGGGAGGTAACCAATGGAAAGAAGGCGTTAATGTGACAAGGTCGTAAAGATAAGGCCATTCTAAAAGTGATTAACCTTATATGGTCAAGCCATTAAGGAATTTTGAAAGCATGTAGACACGAACTCCACATCTATTTAATGGTATATATTATCATTAAGGCCTAACATAACTTTTTCAATTTTTACTGTAGTGTAACAAAAATGTAATTTTTGCCTGATCCTTAACCCTATCAGAAGGTCGAACTTTTACAGTAATGAGAATATAGTTTTATCTGCTCCAACACTACAACATAAAAAAAACTAAAAAAAACTAAAAATATAAGCTAAAGAGTTATACAATATAAACATGAGCTTTCAAATATCCCGAGAGACCAATTTTAACGAACCAATGTAACATACTGCGCCCTCATTGAAGGACTATACAACAATTAGCTACACAGAAATTGCACCATCGATTGCACTCAATCTTGCAACCGCTGTATCGCTATGGCTTTTAATTGGCAACATGTGGCAAGCCTGTTGGCAACACTGTCTTGTTCCGGTCCGGCGACCACTTCCACTTCCGCCGGTCACCGCCATCACAATCATCTTCGCCAACAGATTTGGCGGGAATGCGCTACGGTGAAACCGTTTCCCGGGAAAACGACATGTTATGCTTCGTCGATACAAATATTCCCACTTAAACCGACAACGATGAGATCCGTAGCTGTGAACGTGGAAGTTACGGTATTGGATGTAGAAATATGTCAACACTTGGAGTTGGAGTGGACATTTATTCATTATACTGTGGGTTTTTTACACATATACCCACAATTTCCCTATAGGGAAGTAGCTATTACCATTGACTATACACCTCTGTTATATATATACGTCCGTGAAAGCGATAACTTGAGTACCTAATTGTTCTCCGATTTTGATGAAATTTGGAAAATTTGGTTTAATTTGGAAAAAGGCGGGATAAACTTGAATGAGTTCGCGAATCAGCATGACCATGGGAACAGTGTTTAACGGGGGGTTTTATGGGGTAAAAAGTGGGTTTACTCATTTTTTACCCTCAAAACACAAAATGTCCCACTTTATCTCTAGACCATTTTAAAGAGCTTAAAAAAACAACAAATATACCAAAGTGTTTTCGTACGGTTATTGGTTACGGAGAAAATAAAAAAAATGCAAATTGAAAAATCCCATGTTATTATTATGGAAAATATTGTAAAATGTTATAGTTTGCTTATGGAAATATTTGGATCAAACTTATTAATTTATTAACAAATTTATTAACTTTATAGTAAGCTACTAATATTTTACTAAAATCCATAATTTATTAGCCTCTTTGTAGCAGCAAACCTAGGTACTCGTTAAACCTAATGTTATTTAAATAGATTTAATTTCAAATCAATTCAGGCAAATGGAAATACGCTTAGTCTGCAG